CCGGATTCAAAAAGCTGTCCTATTAATAGGGGCTGGGGGCCGCTCCAAAAGTGATGATTCCCCTCTAAACCCAATTGCACCCCTTGCTAACAAACAGGGGCTGTTTACTCCGAGGTGAAAACATTGTTTGGGACACCGTTTGAACAGAGCTATTGGGACTTGAGGGGGGCCAAAGATTTTCCCAAGGCAGTCTTCTCCAGTTGCCGAGTGCCCGCACTGGACGGCGGGAGAGATTTCTGGGATTGGCGAGTATTATTAATTGAGCCCAGCAAAAAGTTGGAAATTTGAACCCTGGAATCCACTGAGCTGGGCATCAGAACCTAGGATCCCTTTCGTAAAAAGCGACGCCGATGCGCCGATGCCTAAAGGCCCCTCCTGCAAGGTTGCAACGGGCGCCGTGCTCAAATCCTCAGCTCGAGATTTTTTGTTTTGCCTTTTTTGGGGGTTTGGGGGGTGACAAGGATGCCGGAAAAAGGCTGGCCCTTTACACAAAATCGACACGAAGGTGTTTCGGGAAAAAGTTGACCTTGAACCCCCCCCAAAAAATAAAAATAAAATCAAGCCGAGGTTTGCCATAAAAAGGTTTCGAAGGTGGGATTTGGCGTGAAAGGGCAGTAACGGGTGCCCCGTGCGGTTGGAAGTGAGGCACAGGACGGAAGAAAATTAGGCGCACATTGGCTCTTAAAGGTTTTGCTTGGAACAACCATGAAAATTCTGGAGCATTTCCGGGAGCATTTGCAAACACATCGCCAACATCTAAGTGGAACAGCCAACACGCCGGGACGGGATGCTCAAACATGTGGGCACATACTAAAAGTCTCACAGACCTGAACTAAGCAGGCAAGCGAAAGACTTTCATCATGGCTGAGCTCGTCTTTCCCGCAAATCGATGCCGGTTCCAATATCAACATGCACCCCATCCCGGCCCCCCACCAACAACAAGGGATTTGGAGGATGCGACTGAACAACCGGACCTTAGAAACATCCTGCGAAGACCCATGGGAAAAGTTCCGTCTGCCAAAGTCCCATGGCGCAATTCGCATGTTGGTGACTCTTGTCCAAAAATGAGGGAGGTGTTGCCATCTGATTTCGCTCAACTGTACTTGGGCCAAAGTTCCAATCCTTACAAAGGGTTGAATGAGTGATAGCCCCCCTCCAAACCCTAAGAGATCGGTTGCCTTCTGCTCCCCTGCTAAAAGTGACTAACTTTTAGTGGGTTGAATGAGGAAACCCCATTAGTTGGCAAAAAGTTCAAGACCGAACATCCCTTGGCAAAATGCACCAAAGGAGTGATAGCCCCCCTCCAAACCCTACGAGATCCATGGCATCGACGTGAACCAGGGCGCCATGTAGGCGAACAAGCTTTGGAAGTGCGTGCTGCAGAGGAAGCGCCCGAAGCGCGCTGCGGCACTCGCTGAGGGCCGTGGCGTTGCGGAGGTTCTCCACCTTAAGTGAACCGGGAAACTGTCCAGCCCTAGGCACAACAGTAATGTGTGTTGTTGCTTGTTCGACCCACTAGAAATAGAGACATTTTGGAGCATCCCCAAGAATGACAAAATAGAATTTGGCTATGACTTCCAAGAGATCAACATGAGTTTGGAACCTACCTGGAGTCTCGTTCTGACGGTTAAACATGGGTCCATGACCGGTCAGAAGGAAACTCCAGGTAGGCACAAAAGTAATGTGTGCTGTGCTTTGTTTGCAGCCACCCACTAGAAATGAAGAGCACTAACCAACTAAGCAACTATGCAGGAAATGCAAACGAGTTCTCTTGGAGTTGGTACCTTTTTCAGCTTGGTTTGAAGGGAGAACTATGCGTTTGGGTATGTGTGTGAAAAACATGTGGGATACCCCCCCCCCCCAAAAAAAAAAAACAAAACAAAACAAAAAACAACGACCTACTTGTTTCTATCGGTACCCTCGCTTTCTGTCCGGGGGTCTTTCTCCTCGCAAAATAACGAAATACGGGCCTTGGCAATATCCGAGAAAAAAAACGATGGGTGACGGTCATGCTGCGTGGAATTTTACAAGGATCAACAAAAAGGGCTGTCATTCTGTCACTACCTCACTGTCCCATTTGGCATTTGTCTCATAGTCTCAGTATGTCTCAGTATCCCATTATCTCATTATATCGTTACCTATTGTCTACATCACAACGGCTTCTTTGGCTCATCAAACCTTAAAACCGCAGCCTTACGGAAGCAAACCATGAAGCTGCCTAGTTACCTACCTACCTAGCTCCGCAACCCTTAGAACCTTAGGTGATGGAATCATCTGGAAACTCCTGTCCCAACAATGGACGATCAAGAACCTACCCACCTGCCGAGCCATGCCCGGTGATTTTGGCCCGCAAAGCAGGCAAACCCAGCCCCTTGCCTCCGTTCGGGCCAAAAAGAAGAAGCAACTCTAGGCGGAAAAAGAATATGAACTTTACAGTTACCACTAAAATGGTCTTCCCAAAAAGTAACTACCCGGTCTCCTTTTGACCCTTTAAAAATGGGCCCATGACCAACCATTATTTTGGGTAACAACCAACCATTTTTCAAGGGTCAAAAGGAGACTCCAGGTAAAGTGCATGAACTCAGTTTTTTGAGATAGACAGCAACACCCACGCCACCAAGCACATGAGGTCGCTAATTCAATTTCGAAATCCTTTAGCTCCCGTCACGGCGCTGGAAGAGCCCGGCGCAGTACACAAAGTCCTCAGCTGCTCAAAAAGGCCAACAACCAGCCGTTTTCCCCGGGATTCTGGACATTTTCTAGAAGGATCCCTAGAAAGAACGGGAAAGGTGCCCCTAGATCACCTGTTGGGCCCTAACGAAAAATCATAGCCGAATCACAGCCACATTTCTTTTTAGGTTGGGCCCCCCAAAAAAATGGGTCTGCCTTTTAGGTTGGGGTCTTGCCGAAAATTGAACAACGCAAAGGTCAACGAGTTGTGACTCAACCAAAAAAAAAGAAGGGCAAAAAGAACACAGAAAACACAAAATACTTTTTGCTCTTAATCCATGGGTTTCAGAAACCATGCGTTTTCTGTGAGGACAACTTCCAAACGACAAGAGAGACACACAAATAAACCCCAGTTGCCCAAAAATACGCAGGCAGTAAAGGTGATCGTCTTTCGGGACCATGACGAATAATGATTGAGACCACGAACAGTTCAAATGATTGGTTCTTTTCAGAAGCCATCCATTTTCTTGCGGGCTGTAAGGATCCCCGACAGAATGTGGATGGTATGGTTGGCGAACAGAGCACCGACGGCTACGGTGGATGGACGAAATCCATTTCGCACCACCTAAGAAACTCTGGAATGATGATTCCCATGTAAATACCAACAAACAATGGTTTCAACCATGGTTTCTAAGTGGTGCAAACGGATTTCGTCCACAGCTACGAACAGGTCTGTCTGAGAGTCGTTGAAGCACCGCGCCAAGTTCGCGTCCGCGATGGCGCGGACCACACGGCTGCAGGCCCGCAGGCTGAACCACTCCAGCAGCGCCGAAAACCCCAGCCTCGGGGGTGAGACAATTCTAGGTGGCTTCCCCATTCTTCTTCGGGATCCTTCTTTCTAGAAAACCACAAAAAAACCTGAAGGAAATGGCGATCGGTTTTTGAGAAGAACGATGGCTGAAAAGACTGGGGAATCAGCCCCTAGAACAATGGGTGCAACTGAGACCTCCCAACACCCGTTGATGTACCTACCTGGAGTCTTCACGACCCTCTAAGAATGGGGTCATTACCCAAAATAATGGGGTCGTGGACCCATTTTTAAAGGGTCATGGAGCCTTTTTCTTCCCGTGATGCAAACCCTCCTTTCTTGGTCAGGGGTTCAGGGTATTCGGAGTAGTGGGCAGGGCTGATTGAAGCCTGTGGACCCTCTTTGAAGAAAAGTGCCTGTAGAAACTCATTGCCGTGTATGGTGGCAAAGCGCTGCCCGTGTTCAAAAGTGTCGACACTGCCGGCTGCTAAATCAAGGGTCTGGAAATGTTCAAGAACTATCCATCCCCTTTAGGTTGCCTTTCAAGTGACAATTGTGGACTATTTATTATCACACTGCTTCTTTGCTTTTAGAGCAGGCATATCTGCATATCTATGCGTGCTTGGGCTTTATTGTCTGGGTACACGCTCAGGGAATATGAAACGTCCTTATTCGCCACAACTATGGATTAGCCCCGGCTTGGTGCAGCAAATGTAACGGAACCGCAAGCTGTGAGGTTCCCGCGACCCCAAGGGCCCTTCCCCATAGTTCCTTGAGAGTGTCTTGGAAACAAGGGCCTATTTGGATGGATCGTCTGGGTAATGGAGGCTCTATCCTCCCACACTCGTGAAGGCACTTCGTGCCCTTTCTCCAACTGCTATGTCATCTCCATACCTCAGATTCAGCATTCCCTGGTGTAGCCAAAGCAAAAGAAACTGGCTGAGCATGAGTTCCCCGTGGTTCAGTTGTTTGGGGAAACGTTTCGGGGACAACACCGCGAGGAAACATACAGTTCACAGGCCAGAAAGTTATAGTAGAAGCCTGTTGGGCCTACACGAAAATAGGAAAGAAGGACCTGGAGTCTCCATGACCCTTTAAAAATGGGTCTATGATCCCATTATTTTGGGTAATGAGCCCATTTTTAAAGGGTCATGAAGACTGCTTTGCACTATGTGAATGACGGTAGTTTTGAGTGTGTCTTTCGGGGCGTGTACTCCGGTTAAGCTGCAGATGTAGTGCCGACTTGAGATTAGTGCAGTACCAATCAGGGGTCACTCCGCTGCTAAAGGGGGATCATGTCTTAGGATTCCAAAAGCTTTTCCTAGCGTTTCCTTGTCAAACTATTTCTGGCTTTACCTAGTACGATGATGTTCCCCCAGCTAAGTCTTTGGGGTCTCAGGTTATCCTAGGGTCGCGCCGGTTGGATCTTGGCCCAGTCGCAGCGAGCGCAGCACTGCGTCCGGCCGCCCGAATTGGGAGGAAGGCAACAGGGGGCTGCGCAACGCCCGCAGGCGGTCTGGAGGAAGTTGGTAGCTCGGGCTCGTGCCCTGGCGCGGCTCATCGAGATTGTGGGGGTGCTGCACGCCAATATATGTTATGTATATATATATATTATAACATGTGTCCTTCCATTCAGTGTTTGTGATATAAGTATGTGCAAAATGGAGATATGTATACATGTGTACATATATTAGGTACATGTGCGTGTTTGTGTAAGTACACATCGATGCACATGTTTTCTCATCTGAGCATGCATGTGCATGTGCATGTAGACCATGTATACGAGGCCTGGGTAGTTAAACGGGAAATGTGCGCGTGTGTGAACCGAACAACCAGTGTATTTCTTTGTGCTTTGCGGGTTGGCAAGCTGCTGGGGGCGGCAAGCACAAAGCCCTTGAGACAGCCGCGAGGGAGCGCAGTCTATTGAGACATGAGAGTGTCTCTCAAATAGGGATGCCTAAAATGATCCAACCACATGTTTCCATTGTTGGGTCGTTTTCTCTAGTTGTCTAGGTCTTCCAGTAGAGAGGTTAGAATAAGGGCAATTACCCGTTTTCTGTAGTCTATTTTAGTAGGGGAACCCTCCCAACCAAAAAAGAAACGGTAAAAGGGCACTACTGAAAAAAAACCTAGTTGTCCTTCAAAACAACTTAAAAAGGGCGTCCGCAAAAAAAGGACCCACCCGGATGGGAACATGACAAACCGATGATCTGGAGGTCTGGGCCTTCAAGGGGTCGACCTTGTGCTTCCCAGCACTCCAAGGGGCTCCTGTCCACTTTCAGGAGCAAACACTTCCAACGCAGAAAAATGACCCCCCCCCCTAAAAGAAAAACAAGTACAAACACAACAAAAGCAAACACTGACACTGGAGGCCCCCCCCCCACAAACAACAACAAAGCCATGGGTGCGCGCGTCTTCCGGCCCCGATCTCTCCAGGGCTCGACATCGCGCCTCCGCTCGCCGCTTCTTTGGGGGCGGATTCCCTCCGTTCGAGCCGTTGGGTGTCACCTGCGCTTCGCGGTCCCGCCGCTTCCAAATCACCTCCCAGTGGTTTCGATGTATCCAACTTACCCCAAAGCCTCGATGCAAAAGGAGACACTTGGATCCCAGGTTCCTTGAATATGCCGAAAGGAGATGCTCTTGTCTTGGATTCTACAACCCAGTCTGGTTCTGAAATCCAATTCGGAGGCATATGCTGGGGTGTTTTGTCGGGTACCAAAGGCGGGCCTGCGAGTTTAATCTGTGATCCCCTGAAAAAGTAGGAGTGGCATGGGTTCACTTCCACAAGGTTCTGCTAGGATACATCCAACAGACACCAGCTTTAGGAATTCGATCCTGCAAATCTGGATGGCCGGAGTGCATCTTGTAAGAGAAGGACTGGCTCAAACCAAGCCGATGCAGGAATAGTCCCTGTTCGAAGGTCTGTAGGCATACTATACATATTATACGGATGCATTATACGTGTATGTAAAGTATACATATATATATATGTTGTTACATATATATATATATATATCTATCTTAGTAATGCGGTGTATTTTGGGTGACCCAGAATAGGCTCTGGGATGCTACGCATCCGTGTCCTTGGGCGCAAGCTGTTATCCGTTTAGTTCCCCGCGTATAGCCCCCCGGTTTTTCAATCCTGTTGGCACATAAATTTGTAAGCCCGCCAGTCGTTCGGAGTTGTCGTTTGGATTCCTTGCTAGGGAACCTGCGATGCACCCCAGCATTCCATAACCGCTGGATCCAATTCCTGCCAACCCCAGCCCAAGTTTGGACATCTCAGTGTCCAGGCAAAAAGCAAGATGTGTTGCACAACTCCCCTTTCAGTCCCACCTTGCCTGTCAGACCTTCCAACTCCAGACCAACTAGCCCCTGTTTGCCAAAGGGGAAAAATCCAGCGGTATGGCGTCAGATTCCTGGGCTGTCGTCTCAAAAACCTTCCGTCTTCCTCCCTTGGGCTTTCCCGATGGCCCATGCGTTGCCACGAACGAAACTCATTTAGGTCAATTTAGGTCAAGACCAGCCGAAACGCCGCGAACACCGCCGAAAAATGAAAATCCTCCCGCAATCTCCCCGCCCTCTCCAGAAAATCTCCGCCGTCCTCTCCAGAACATCCCCCTTCCCAATCAACCGGACAAGTTGCAAGCCCACGACACGACTCAATCGCCACGCCTCCCCGGAGATCGGTGTAGATTCCTTGGTGGTTTGTCGATCCCTTGCTAAGAATTGAACCCTTTGTCAAATAACTCTGCCCAAAAACGTTTCGCCCCACCCGTGTCTTGCCTTTCTTCGGTAACACTTGCTATATGATCCTAGGGCCACAAAACACCAGAAACAAAAACAGGCATCCCGCAAAAGCGCAGTTTTGTTTTGCAATATTGGCGTTTTGCGTACAGGCTACAGTGTTGTTTTTACGATTTATGTTTTTTCGGTCCAAATTCGAACACCCGTTTTTTTGTCCCGGAAAAAACAGGCTGAACACAACAGGTTGTTTGGTTCTGACCTGCTTTTTCCAGGCTTTAGTAGCCTAGGGATCCGGAATTTGTGACCAATGAGAAATGCCAGTCGCCTTATTCTGAGGGTTGATTCCCCATTCTTTCCAACCATCGTTCCTTTCGAACACCGGATCCGTTTCCCTAGGTTTCCCTTGGTTTCCGCAGGTTTTTCAGAAAGATTCGGATCCCTGGAAAGAATGGAGAAGTTACCCCTAGAATACTACCTTCAAGCAGCGGAAATGCGCGGGATGTGAAAAACAGACACCGAGGTGCCGTGGATCAATGGGGATTGTAGCACTCGACTTATGGCCTGGAAGTGCCAAGAGTCCCCGCTGCGCACCGCTTTGGCCGTCCTGGCCGCGGCGATTGCGGCGGCCACGGCCGCTGGGACATGCCCGGGCGGATGCACGGAGCCTTGGCTGGGTGAGAAACCAGTGGCGGGCCCCGTTTGGTTGGGTGCCCCGTTGATCCCCTAGCAAAAAGTATTAAACTGTTTGCAGGTCAAAGGGAAACATGAGAGGTATCCAAAAAGTTAAAGTCTAAAGATCCAACCCAATGGCAGTAGAGATGTTTGGCTGGCATGTTAAAGGACGCTAACAACCAGCCACGCATGGAAGAGGGCACCCCTAGGTTGAGAAACGCAGTTCCAGCAGCTTTCGTTCTTCCACTTTAAGTTGGTTTCCACCCCAAACTGCACCGGGAAACAATTTATATAGTGTATATATAGCGGTTGGTGTTGAGGGCTGCTGGTTCAAATAATTCAGGGGTACAGCTCGGATGCCCTTTTTCTGGGCTCGAGTTCGAGATCGATTTCAGCGATTCGGGGTGGGTAAAACGAGCTCACTATGATGGTCCTTGGTGGTTCTTGGTCTAAGGGGGAATTCAAAGAGGGCACCCAGGGCTTCCATACACTCACTAGATGGCATATCAGGGCTCCCGATACTTCCCCTTCAATTATCACTAAACTTTGGCCCAAAAGGCGATGTGTGAATCCGAGGAAATGTGGAGCCCTGCATATACCCCATTTTGACCAAGCGCTGGAAGCTGAAGGAAGTTTGGATCCTGTGGACCTAGCAAGTGAGTTAAAGAGGTCACGGGGATCTCGAAGAAAAAGGAAGTTTGGGTGCTGAACAACTGAAACCCAGACTTGCCACAGTTCCACCAACTTGGTATTGACTGGTAGGCTAGCGTTGGGTGTCCCAGTAAAGAGGGAATCCGTCACTGAAGGACACCTATCGACCCGCAAAGTTGCTTACGAGTCCATTTGTTTTGATTCGCATGTGGATCTATCCCTCTCCGTCCTCAAAGGGTGTCAAATGGATGCTCTTTCTTGGCCGGTTGCCCAGGAAGGTGTCCAGGAAAATCCGGCTTTGGGAAGACCTCCACAAAGGACAAACACGCGACCCGAGCAACAAACAGCCCCTCAAAGAGGTAAGTCGTTCTCCCAAACAACCCGAAAATACACAGCTCACCTTTTGGGATCTTGACGAAACATGGACCAAAACTGCACCACCAAAAGGTCAAAAGCAAACGAACGTGAGGCTTCAGTTTGCCTCACTAAGTCCCCTGGAAAAACAAAAGCCGAGTCACAGTCCTCCCAAAGCCTTCGGCTGTGGTCAGCGGAGAGAGAGGAAAAAAAAAAACAACCACGTCGTCCTTCTGGTAGAAGGACGAAGGCCCTGGTAGATGGAAAGCCAAGCTAAATCAGTGCCATCTACTTCCAACCGAACAAACCTAAACAGGACACCTATGACAACCCCCCCCCTCCGGCGCACACCAGACCGTGACATGCCCAAAACGGCGGGCTAGGTCCGCATCCACGGCATCGTGTTTGAGCTGAGCCACGGTAGGCGGCCGCCTGCAGAGGCAGCGGCAGTGGCGGCGAAACGCTGCCGTCCCCACCGGAGTGTTGACCTCAGCAGCTCGACATCTCTCACGCGGGCTTCCCCCCCCAAAAAAAAACGAGCGGGTCCGTCCTTTTTTTTGGGGGTGCGCTTTTTATGGCTGGCTCAAAGGAATTCCACTCATTTGGGGGAAAAAGACAAACCAAGCTTTGTGGGTCTTGTGTAAGGATACATCCAAACACCACCTGCTTTAGGATGAAAGGTAGTAAGGGAGTCCCAGCCAGGAAGAGGTACGGATATGCGATTGGATCTTCACCATGGGTTTTGGATAGACCTGCTGGGGTGTGTCCCAAGCGAAGGGATGCCAATAGTGGGGGCGGGGGCGGGGTAGTTTGCTTTGGGCCTCTTTGTCAGGCCGGCCAACAATGAAAGGGTCCTCAAAAAGGCAGCATAAATCAGCAGCCTCCTTTTGTCAAACGGATTCCCATCACCAGGGTTTTGCGCCAGTCAAGTAATCACCTTTACACAATTTGATTAAGCGCATCTGTATCTACAGGTGGTTTTGGCATGCATCCTGGGCCAGATCGATCACTGCTCAATGAAAGGAGCTTCCTTATGGCCCTTTTCCATTCAAAGTTCACAGGAGGCCTGGTGAAGATGATGGCCGGTGGCTGGTGCGCCAAAACCCTCTGGCTACAAACCATGCCGCCGCAGAAACATCTCTGCAAATGTTGCAAACAGACCCGAACAATGAAGGGTCAAGGGTCAAGTCACCTCATTTTTCCAGAGCTCGCCAAACAAATTGCGCCAGAAACATCACATAGGCCGTAAAATCAATTTATCAGCCACCCGGCAAGAAAGTGGGTTTCCCAGCAAATAGGTTGCCTGCTTAGACACGTTCAAAGGGAGCCCGGCTGGGATGGCAGAATGGGTGGGGCCTAGGCCCTGTCTTCGAAGCTCCTTATTGAAGAAACGTTGATTCAGTTGTGGGACCCGAACAGTGGTCTTCCAAGCATGTCCGAAACAGTGTGGATTCGAAAGAAGCGGCTCTTCCCTTTAAAACTTTAATCACCTGGTCAAACTTCTATGATTTACACACCCAAACATTATGGATTGAGTCAGAAACGCTCATGGGCACATTGCTCGGCTGCAAACTTGCCCAGGCCCAGTTGCCCAATGACCCTAGTAGAACAAGCAGTGGAGCCTTTTATGTTGGTTGATGCATTTTTAGGGAGAGCCCACCAAACTACAAAGGTATTTTGGGGTCACACTCAGCACTGCCGACCCCCACCGACTCGCAACAAAAAAACAGCCCTAAGTCCAGGCAAGCGGCGTAGTCGCAGGGCTAAGTCGCCTGAAACCCCATTTTGCAGGGCCAAGCGGCCCAATTCTAGAGCAACCGCTACACAATCAATATGGAAAACTAGCAAACTTTGCGCGATTTCACTGGAATTGGGTGGGGCCACGGGGTTCCATGTGCTGCCTGATTTGCTACAATAACGACAAACTGGAAACCAAGGGGGCCACCACTGCAAAATGGACCCCCCCACCAACATGGCACCCAGAAGGTCAGGGGGTGCCTTTTAGAGGAACGACCAGCAACAATCCAGGGCAGTATACGAAAGAAAGCAGGGCAAATCAATGCTGATTCCACCGGGCCAGAAAGCACACTTTTATTGGACAGTTAGCGTGAAAATGCGGTTAGTGGTTGAAGATCCAACCAAGCAGCCAAGAACCAGAGTGTTGGCACGAAAGACTATGTCAGCTCTGCTTGAAAAACTGCAATTTGTCCCACACATGTTGTGGCGTGTTCCTAAGAAAAGCCGTCCTCTGCCAAACGCATCCACCATACCCACCCCACCTCAAACCGCGCATCTAAACGAGGTAAGCCAAGAAGCAAACCGCACAAACCAAACACTTACTAACTGAAACACAAGCAAACTCACGTTGAAACACAAATGCAACAAACAAACACACCCACACACATGAAAACAAAGCCAAACACAAAATCGCAAACACACACACACACACCACACAACACCACGACACGACACGACACGACACAACACGAATCCGACACAGCACGACACAACACAACACGACACGCGCACACACAAGCCCGCAAACACACACACACACAGAGCAACAAACAAACAAACAAACAAACAAGCAAACAAACAAACAAACAAACAAAACAAACAAACAAACACACACACACACACCCACCCACCCACCCACCCACCCACCCACCCACCCACCCACCCACCCACCCACCCACCCACCCACCCACCCACCCACCCACCCACCCACCCACCCACCCACCCACCCACCCACCCACCCACCCACCCACCCACCCACCCACCCACCCACCCACGCACGCACGCACGCACGCACGCACGCACTCACACACCGCGCACACACACACGCACACACACGCACACACACACGCACACACACGCACACGCGCACACGCACAGACACACACACACACACAGACACAGACACAGACACAGACACAGACACAGACACAGACACAGACACAGACACACAGACACAGACACAGACACAGACACAGACACAGACACAGACACAGACACAGACACAGACACAGACACAGACACAGACACAGACACAGACACAGACACAGACACAGACACAGACACAGACACAGACACAGACACAGACACAGACACAGACACAGACACAGACACAGACACAGACACAGACACAGACACAGACACAGACACAGACACAGACACAGACACAGACACAGACACAGACACAGACACAGACACAGACACAGACACAGACACAGACACAGACACAGACACAGACACAGACACAGACACAGACACAGACACAGACACAGACACAGACACAGACACAGACACAGACACAGACACAGACACAGACACAGACACAGACACAGACACAGACACAGACACAGACACAGACACAGACACAGACACAGACACACACACACACACACACACACACACACACACACACACCACACACACACACACACACACACGCATACACACGGACACACACACACACACAATTAAACATGGCGGAAAAGCATGAGACTCACAGAACACAAACGTAAGACAAGACGCGCAGCACTGAAGATAACGCACCTACAAAAAGACAAAGAAACAAAGAAGCAAACAAATAACCAAACAACCAAGCAAACAAGCAAACAAGCAAACAAGCAAACAAGCCAACAAGCCAACAAGCAAGCAGAGCCCCTCCCCCGCCGGCAGCCACCACGACGGCGACATGCGCCGCCCTTTACGCGCGCTTTGCAAGCCAGGGTGCCCACCAGCAGCGCGCGGGTGGCGTTTTTCTGCCTGGCGCTTGGATACCATTTACTACCTCAGCCTTTGCCCCCAACCAAACAAAGTCACAAGCAGTATGTAAACAATCAAAACATCATAAAACATCACAAGTCAAAAGTGACCCTTCACATGAGACACGAGCTCAACCGCCGTCCAGTTGAGTCGCGCTACTTGCCTCCATCACTCACTCATCACTCTAAGCCGACCCAGTGGTCGAAAGCCCGCTTAACAAGTTGCAAGCCTAAACAAAAAGGTCAACATAGATCTGGCAGAAAAAGTCGTGAAGGAGAGAGCGCTCTAAGGCTGCCCATCCAAAAAAATAGGTGTTTCGTGGTGGGCTTCCTTGAGAATTTTCCATCCAACTGGGGGTACGAATTATTTTGCAACCCCCTCAGGAGAGAACAAACATGCGTCTACAGCCACAAGCTAAGGGGCCAAACATATGTCCACCAAAAGGAAACTTTGCCTTAAATTGGCACAGGTGACCTTTTGCGGGACCCACACAAAAAATCCCGGATTCACGTCTAGCTGGGAGTGGAGTCGGAAGTGCGCTGCGCGGTTGACACCGAGCTGCTCGTGGTCCAGGTGTTGCAGCTTCGCGACCGAGACCTGCAAACCCAGCCTCGGCGGCGGTTTAAGGAGGTGCCGGGGGAGGTATGGCACAAATCTAGGGTTGAGTCCCCGGTCTTTTCAATCATCGTTCTTTTCAAACACCCCAGGGTTTTGGGTGGTTTTGTAGAAAGAAGGATGCCTGGAAAGAATGGAAATGGAAGGTGATCCTAGAACAAAGCTTCTGACCTTTTAAAAATGGTTGGTCATTACCCAAAATATTGGTTGGTCATGGACCCATTTTCAAGGATCATAAGGAGACTCCAGGTATTCTCAGAGTAACCTTTATGGCAGGTGATCAGCAATTTGCCCTTTAAACTTGTAGAGGGTGTTCTCCATGTGGACTACATCAAAGGCAGTTGTCTGTTCAATTAGGACCAAATGAGAGCATCAAAATTCAAAATGGAAAGGCGCGTTCAGTCGCTAGTAACCAGATCGCTCCTGAAACATATCGCCTGGTTGGCAACACGAAACCTTCTACACAACTACACTTTTACAGTAGAATGGCCGGTTTCCACCTGGACCCTTTTATAATACTAACCAAAAGTAGGTGCACCCAAACGGAGATCCAAAAGGCCCTCAAATCCCCCGCTGAAAGTGAATCACTTTTAGTGGCTCAAACGGAGGTCCACCATCAAGATCCAAGAGATGGAAAGTCGCGATAGCATCCCTTGCAAACTCTAAGATGCCATCTGCTGACAAACTAAAGTTGGCAAACTGAAAACCTAAGCGTGAAAATGACCAGGGCTCAGCCATCTCTTGGGCAGATCCTTTGCCCAACACAATTTCTTAGCCAACAGTCACTCTTTCCAATCGGTGGTTGTTAGGATCTGGGGATTCCTGGAGTCTCCTTCTGACCCTTTAAAAGTTGATCTGTGACCCCATTGTTTTGGGTAATGACCAACCATTTTTAAAGGGTCAGAAGGAGACTCCACGTAAATTCATTGCCCATCTTTTCCACAAATTGATACTCTACCGTTCGACTCGACCGGCTTGCTGGGGCCCGTGGCTCTGGCCCGAACGACGTTTCAACATCTTTTGGGAACGGTGGGTACCAGTCTCGGGAAGAAAACATCGTCAATTCGGAGCCTTCGATCACTTCGATCTTGCCTTATTTCTGACTTGACTGGATGGGAGCAAACTGTGACCAAACGTTTGGTTTGCAACTCAACATGCCCTCCCACAAAGTAGTAGAACATTCAGAAACTCACGTCACGATAGTGCATAAGTCCACCCATTGGGATCCTACGCATGCGAATCCGTATATGCCACTTGAGGGTTTTGCTTACTCAGGCGTCCTGTCAAGTGGGCTGGCCGCACCCAGACCTGGTGTTTTCCAATTTTTGCACTTTCCCTTCTTCACTTCCCAGGTTTTGATTGTAGTGAGGTTGGCTCGAAACCCTGCCACTGACTCGCCAAGGGGCGACTCCAGACCCAGCCTGGGCGAGAATCGCATATCGGTGGAAGCGGTGGAAGCCAACTGAGGTAGAGAGCCAAAGAAAGGTTAACGGTCATAGCCGGGAAAGTGGCCCTTGGCGAAATGGGTGCAATCTCCTAACCCGAGATGGGTGCACACCTGAGAGTTGAGAATGGACAAGCTTGGGACTTGCCCATGGTCCCATGCAGCCCTGTGGTCGAAACTATCTCCGCATCTTGTTCGACATGGCCGCGTTCTTTGGAGCAAGCGAAGGAATCTTCCATCAACCTACCCAAAACCGCCCGCCCGGCCATCCACCAGGTGTTGAACAGGTGGTCTCAGATTTTGCTTTCAGGAAAAGCATTGAGTTTCCCAGACCCAGTCAAAAGGAGCCAAGGGCCCGCCAGCCAAAAAAGGACCCACAGCCAAGGGCTCTTTCAAGGCCTCTGAACTTCCCAAACCCTCATTGGCCAAAGCGAAAAAGGACGTGTCTGAAACAATGCCCCTTGTAGCGGATCATGCGGATCATGCGAATCAGCTGTGGTTCCGATGTTGGCAGGGAATTACATTTTTAGGGGATTCCTCGGATGAGTTGGATCCCCCAGCCACGCTTTTCATCGGAAGTTCTCCTGTTTAGCGCGGCCAACCCCCACATTCTTTGAGGCCAAGTAGCTGCTGGCAAAGCTCCATGGCCGTTTCCGCCTCCTCCTTCCACTCCGAGTTTTCCTTGGTTGCTCTTGACCCCCCTGCCAAAAAATAACTTTTTGAGAGTTTAGTAGAAAACACCTTTATTCCCAACAAGTTAAAGCCTAAAGATCCAACCCAATAGCAGTCAAGTTTCCTTACACCGAAGAATCCCCGAAAATCCCTGGGCGATGGGCGCACCTTGTCTCAAAATATATTGGGATCCATGCAAAATAATAGATAAACAAACGCTCAATCTTGCTCAGCGGCTTGGCCTTTGGCTTCGATTGAAGGGCGTCCAACAAGGAACGACCACCAACGCACAGGCACACAAATGGGGCCCCTTTGCATGAACCTAAGACGAGTTCAACAATTCGCACCTGGTGCAAACCCAAGAAGTCCGTGACCATTCCTAGGAACCACATGGCTACGTCACCAATATTCATTTCCTTAGTCTGTTTGCCCAAAAAAAACCAAGCTGTTACTCAAGTGGTCTTTCCAAAAAGAAGACCGGTTGAGAAACTAGGCCGGAGAAGATGGAATAGGACGCCGCTTCTTTGGAAACACATGCCAATCCCGCGTTGCTTTCGTTTAGTTTTTTGCCTAGGGATATTTAGCAGCCAAGTCAAGGAACTATGTGAGCAAAATGGTCCAAGGCCCTTGCACAAGGTTCCACCCAGGGCTCAGCTACTCCTAGTGGCCCCCTGGGCTTTATTCCATGCCTAGCAACCAAACTGGTTCCAAAAAAAAAAGATCACCTCTCGTCGGTCTTAAATAAAAATGATCAGATTCTGGCTCCACAAGATCTCTGTTTGGGTTGCGAATCCGGTCACCGAATCCCGGATCCCGGATCGCCATGCCCGCTGCACCCCGCGCACGCGAAGCGATGCGGACTGGGCACCGACCTCCGGTGCCGCACCAAGAGCTCGTTGGAGATGGCCAAAAGGATGGCGCTCTCCTCCTAAAAAGCCGAACAACCGTACGGTACGGATGTCTCCTAAAAAATGTGTCTCCCTTTTTGAGAGGCTATCTTTGTCTCCCTTTTTGGAGAGGGTCCCTTTCTCTTGTGTCTTTTTGGTGAAACTTTGAGAAAGAAAAACTTGAAATTTGGGTTCTGGCTTTGGTTGAAGAGCATTCTGGGTGTGGCCTAAACCGAGACGCACCCTCTTGTTGCCCAGCTGAAGGACCGATGTCCAAACTGGTCATTTGTCGATGTCTATGCCAGTACAGGGCTGGGATATTTCCCCCTGAAATATCACCCCAAAAACATGCAAAAAACACCTCAAGTGGCCCCGAAAGGTGATGTTTAAGCAGGCTGAAAAGGTACATGGGGACCAATTTTGAGGCGACCAGTTTTGGGTTGGTTTAAAAAGAAACCAACCGCTACGCCACTTAAAATGGTGAGCAATCAATACAGAAAAGAGCAAGAAATAACAACGACGGAAAGAACGACTGACAACGAGACAAATCACCAAAACAAGGCTACAACATCACACAACAACAAGGAAACGAAACGACTCAAAATTGCACGTTGCAACGATATGATCATTTAATACTAACAAACACACAAAAACCAACTTAAAAGAAACAAATCGGCATAATCAAACACACACACACACAAAAAAAAAGAAAACACACCACTGAGAAGACACGACCGAAAATAATCGTGACTTCGCGCAAGTCCGCTCCGCGCCTGTTGCCGCTCCTGGGCCTCACGCTCTGTGAGGGCCAGGACCTCGCGTCAGGTGGCGGTTGCATGGCGCTGGGGTCTGCCACAGTGGGGCAAGTGAGAGGCAATGTGGTTACTAGTTTGTCAGCAGATGGCATCTTAGAGTTTGCAAGGGATGCTATCATGACTTTCCATCTCTTGGATCTTGATGGTGGGCCTCCATTTGAGCCACTAAAAGTTTTCTTCACTTTTCGCGGGGGATTTGAAGACCCAGTTTTGGATCTCCGTTTGGGGGCACCTACTTTTAGTGTTATAAAAGGGTCCAGGTGGAAACCGGCCATTCTACAGTAGAAGTGTAGTTGTGTAGAAGGTTTCGTGTTGCCAACCAGGCGATATGTTTCAGGAGCGATCTGGTTACTAGCGACTGAACGCGCCTTTCCATTTTGAATTTTGATGCTCTCCTTTGGTCATAATTGAACAAACAACTGCCTTTGATGTAGTCCACATGGAGAACACCCTCTACAAGTTTAAAGGGCAAATTGCTGATCACCTGCCATAGGGGTTACTATGAGAATACCTGGAGTCTCCTTATGACCCTTAAAAAATGGGTCCATGACCAACCATTATTTTGGGTAATGACCAACCATTTTTAAAAGGTCAGAAGGAGACTCCAGGAATCCTCAAAACTGGGATCCACTGGGCTTTGTTCTAGGATCACCTTCCATTTCCATTCTTTCCAGGCATCCTTCTTTCTACAAAACCACCCAAAACCCTGGCGAAATGGCGATCGGTTTTTGAAAAGAAGGATGGCTGAAAAGAATGGAAAAGGAATCAGCCCCTAGAAACATAAGTTCCTGGAGTCTCCTTCTGACCCTTAAAAATGAGGTCATTACCCAAAATAATGGGGTCATGGACCTATTTTTAGAGGGTCATGGAGACTCCAGGTCTAGAGTAAAGGCAGCATTTATTGTCGGAGTTTCTAAAAAGCCACTTCCGTCCATTCCGTTGTTTTCCATGAGTGAAAAGGAGAAACCGCCCAACAATCTCCATTACCACAAAGCAGATCCCATCTGCTGACCTTACCGGACTCAAACAAATGATAGTTTCGGGTCTTGACTAAACATATTGACACACGGCCGGCAAATGAACGTAACCATCCCCCAACCCCCCCCCCCCTGCCCACCCACCCTCAAGTCCCTACCACCCCCCCCCCGTCTACCCAACACGCTTCAAGCTTCCCAGCTCAACAGGCAAGAGCTTTCCTGGGTGTGACGCAGAAGTGTGACCCTTGAAACAGGATCCAGAGAACCGACGCGAGAAACGCTCCAAGAAATCGCGCAAAGATAAGAGCCGGTCTTTTTTGAGGGTACCCCTTTCTTGTGGATTTAAAAGGGAAACCAAGAGGAAAGCCACGATTTTTGGGGGCCTGCCTCAAAAGGACACACTCATTATCTCTTCGGAAGGACCGGGGCCCGCCGATTTTGGGGCATGTTGATCTGAGTGATGGAGCAAGTCCGCAGCCCCAGGGATGCCCTCTGAAGTGCGAAAAACGAAGGACGTGGAGCTGGCGTTGCCTTTGATCAATGCTTCAACCCTCACAATTCATGTTGCCTACCATCACGTTGAGCAAAACAAGACAAACCTAAGATGCGAGCGAAGGATGGCCCTGGCGCCTTGCAACTTGACTTCCCTTCCCCTGGGGCCGCAGCCTCTCGTTTCAAATGTCGGATCCTCGGTTGAAGGCGGTAGAGGCCCCTTGGCCTCTTGGACGACTTCCCAAAACGAACCCGGCAGGGCTTTGTGGGGCTCTCCTTTTGGCGCTTTTTGGGTGTGACTTCTTTTTGGATCTCTGAAATGCTGACCTGAACGAACTGGGCAGGGCTTCGTGGGGGTCTCCGTTTGGCGCTTTACCGGGTGCCAAGGACAAAGGCAAAGGCAGATTCCGCTTGCCTGCCAACCTCCTCTGCAAACTTTTTCAGGTCAGCCACGGAATCAACAGGGCTTTCAGGAATGAACCCATGGATCCCCTAAAGGGAAGCTATAAAGCAAAATGGTCCATCAGCATTTTAGAGCCGGTCCTGGAAGGTACAAAAAGAACGCATTCTAGCTCAAATGTAGAAACTTAGCCATTTGGAGCTTCAAAAGCAACATTTTGGAGACGGTCCTGCAGTGGCCGTTCTTTACTACTAGAGTTTATACGGCCATGCCATATATCATCCCCTGAGCAACAGCACGCAAAAAGGACCTGACGCTTCTGCCGAGCATCTTCTGCCCTGCGGCGCGGTTCAGGGGATCCGCCTGCATCGCGCGCACCTCGTCGGCGCCTCGCAAAAAGCTGCAGGTTAAAGGGTGCATAGGTGTCCTTTTTTGGAAAATAGATGGCCCTGGTAGATGATTGAGCCACCATGTAAACCAGGGCCCTCTGTTTCTTAAGCAAACCAACCAAAAAGGACACCTACGAAAGGGCGGGTCGACCTTGTGCAAGTCCTTTCAAAGTCCCTTCTTGAGCTTAGGTCAATGCGGCCTACACGTTATCTAAGTGTCGACCCTGGATTAGGGCGCCCCCCAGTCAAGAACCCCCTCCCTAAAAAGATACGCCCGATATCAACCACACTCCTGTAGCAATCAACCATAGGTTGATTTATAAACATTCGTGACACCCAGAAACCACCCTTTTGAGAGGAACTCTCTGGCGGAAGGAGCCCCCAGTTCGGGTCCCATCTAAATTTCCAGGGATTCAGGGCCTTCCTTGAAATATGCACCGCAAGCGCTTGATTTTTAGGTTCGACGCGGATTTTTTCAAACAGATCCCCAGCAGTGGGCTGAAATTGCTTACCGGAAGCACAAGGTGTGGAGGGCTCTGGGACCCCAGGGCGGTGAAACCGAAACCAATCAGAAGACCCACTGAGTCAACTGGGCTGTCCTCAGATCCCCTGCTACAAGTTTAATTTTTGGGGGGTTAAAGGGAAACCTGCACTAAACCCTAAAAAGCTAAAAAGCTAAAAAGCTAAGGGGATGGCTGGGAGCCACCAAGTCAAATGCCCCCTCCCCCCCCCCCCACCCCCGGATCCATTTCCCCCACCCCCTAGACGCTCTAGAACCTTTTGCGGGTAGGGGCGGGGTGGGGGACAGGGTCTGGATCGGTTGGCTTGTCACAAATTGGTGGGCCCCACAAAGTGGGTGTCCCTTTCCAGCAAGCCTAAGCAGAGGTCAAACAAGTCTGCACCTAAGTTATGAATAGTTCGACTGGGGGTGTTGGGTACTTAATCTAGCTATGTCACGATCCTAAGATACTAATTGTCCGTCCCGGGACCCCCATAACCGCATTTGTTGGCCACGCGGCTTGTACGCCCTTTTTAACAACATGAGGAACACAAAAATGGATTTCGTCCGGGCCGTATTTGCAAGACCGAACAAATTGTCACTCCGGCAAATATATGGCCAAATACGTGGGTCAAACCCAGACCAAAGAACGGCCATTATGGGGCGCCGGGTACTTACCCCCCACTCCAATCACTCCAAATACCCTCTTTTTCAGGGCATCATGTCGACCCTCTCCTAAAACAGGAGGTGTTTACCATAGAAAACCAGGTTTTCCCAAAAATACCCTCAAAAAAAGCGGGTATTTTGAGTAGAGGGTATTTTCGGCCCCGTATCCCGCGGGCCGCGCCGGGTGCGTCTCACTCCAAGGCGCGACGCTTGATCCGCAAGGCCAGGGCGAGGTCCGGCGTGGCCGGCGCCTCGTCTTCGTCCAGGCGACCTCGGGAGGCACTCGAAATCCCTCGGAGGCTGGCGGACTCCCGATCTCATCACCCATCTTCACCCATCTGTTTCTCAATGTATTAACAGTGCGCGAAACATGGATGAGAATCAAAAGCTCTAGGGCTACCTTCGATTTCCATTCTTTCCAGGGATCCTTATTTTCAGGAAACCAGCAAAAATCCCAGGAGAAACGGCTGGTTTTTGAAAAAAACGATGCCTTTAAAGGAATGGGGAATCTAGAATTATCTTTAGAAACCCCAGACAAAATCCCTGGGGTTAAGGGAAAAAGGCAGCTAAATTTCTTTAGAAACCACCTGGAAAAGGTGTAGCTAAAATGGGAAAGGCCCATCGGGTTCTGATCGACGAGTTCCGATCAAAAACATGCGTGCTTTCCGCATCCACTTGGAACCCATTTGGCTCCACCCATTCAACCGGGCCACCCTCTCGAGGCGGTTGAAAGCACAAAGCTGAAAACTGACCTGCTGAGTTGGCCTAAGTTAAAACGTCTCAACTTAGGCTGAAATGATGGAAGAAACCTGGCATGCTAAAAAACAGACAAAAGCCAGCAGTAAAACTAAGACTGCTGTTGTACGCCGGGGATGCAAATTTCACTTCAATTGCAAGAGCGGGCCAGCTGACTAGACAAACTGCCAGACTCGCAAGGTAAGTGCCTTGCTACTCACCAAACATCTAGCTTGCCAACAAACATAGACTTGTTGGTCGGATTTCTTGGTCACAGCCAGCCAATAATTCAATTGGTCAGTCCAGAAGCTATAAAGCAACTGACCAATTCTCCAGCCCGCGAGCAAACAAACTCGATACCTGACGGACAGCCGGCTAGCTAGTCAGCTGGCTGGCAAACAAGCTAGCAAATATGTAGAGAAGCCCGCGTGTAGATAAGCAGCAGGAGCTCCAAAAAAAACCTAGTTTGGCATCTGTTCGCCTCACAAACAACATCTTAGTGGTTTGCTGATCCCTGGCTGAAAATCGAACATTTTGGGAGGCAGTCGCAATGAATCCCTCTGAGCCTCTAAGCTCTTGTCTAAAAGCTCACAAGCGCAAAAGGTTCGCTTGGAACCTTGACTAAATGGCTGTGGCCTGGTAAGTGGAAACATGGACCAAAACCTGCGGTTTGCCCCTCCGATCGTTTAATTTTGAGCCACACCCAAATATGGACCAACCCAGGGAAACCAAAAGATTGAAAGGTCAGCATTGGGCAAGGGAGAAAGTCTCTCTGATGGCTGGAAACCAAGACATGTCTCGGATCGATCCGAGCGGCAAATGAAGCTAAGCACCATGGTGGGGCTGGCGCGGTAGCCTCAAGGCCCGACGCCCGATGCCGTTGGATTCCCGGAGCAAAACCGGCAATAGACTCGACGGTTTTTACTACCGGAGATATCCCCCAAAAAAAGACTGGAGGTGTATGGCGCGTCTTTGTTCCAGGGTACCCATGTTTTGGTGGTAAGGAAGGAAAGCCAAAAGGACAACCATCAACCATATGACAAATAGCTTCAGTGGCTGGGGGCTGTTTTTCTCCCATCTGAAAGTGGAGTGGCTGACTGAAGCTGTAGGCTGCGAGAATTGTCCCAGTTCGGAGTTGCCCGTCCTCAGAAATCAATGGGCAATGGAAGGCACCCAGACTCGAAGCAAGGCTCAAGCTACCTCAGTTCCATACAAGGCGTTGGACCTACTATTCTACCCCCTGGGTACGTATCCAACTCCCATGTTGATTGGCACGCAACAAAACGGTCCTGCTTTTTGGGCCCACCAAACTCCACGTGAATAGTCCAAACACTTTGGCGAGGCGATTCGTCACCAAGCAGCCCATGACCAGCTCCTCCTGGGTCAAGGGCACTGCGACGCTCACACCTGCCCGCTTCGGCTCTCAGAAGCCCGGAGAGACCTCCAGGCTCCCTCCAAAAAATGTTGCCAACTTCGCACCCAAAAACCCGAAGAAAAGAAAGGAAACAAACTGCGGGGTGGCTATCCCAAAAGTTATTGCCCCTTTCGAGGCTCATGAAAACGCCAGGGAAGAGTTGACACACACACACACAGCCCCACTAAAACAAACAGCTGATTGGCCAATGGTGTCAATCGCTCCTGAGACTTTAGAAATCTTTAGGCTTCCTTGCTAAAGAACCAGCATCGGGAGAAGCAAGGTTGTACCAGCCTAACCGAAGGGTTCTCTTCGCACCTTTTTCTGGGGCTAGGCGGGGTCCGATGCTTTTCTCCTCAAGATGAATAGCAAGTGGACTAGCCACAAATCAGAGTAATCAGGGTCTTGCTTGACGGAGCACCCAAAACTCACTTCCTTCGAAAGGTGATCCTCGAAATCCGCTTGGAAGAGTCACTCTCTGGCCCTAAAACGATCCTTTCACAGGCCGCGATCTCCTTTGCTCCAGGGACCCGTTGCAGCCAGCAAACTTGTTTTCACATTCCGTGGTTCTGTCCGGAAAACGGATTGAAGGGCGCTCATTGTGGATTCGGTGCGCTTCTGCACCCCACTGGGCCCCTAATTCTTCTCATTCGGGTATGCGTCAAAATGGCATATGGAGCCCAAAATGGTGGCGTTCCTTCTGGCTTCCCTTTCAACCAGCCCGAAAAGGGTACCCCCAAAAGAACAACAACACCCCCTTTCCGGTTGGTTCCGCATTGCTCAAGACCCCACCCCCCCAATTGGAGTGAATCCCTGGATCCGGACCCCCAACCCTTTTCCGGTTGGTAAGAAAACTGGGCTGCCCTCAGATCCCCGGCTAAAAGTTCAATTTTTAGTGGTCAAACGGAAACTACCACTAAACACTAAAAGGCTAAAAAGCTAAGGAACCGGATGGCTGGGAGCCACCAAGAAAAACCAAAAGGAACGCCCGACTCCTCATCCGGAGTCCCTCATCCCGCCTTGATGGATCCGTTCGCAGGCTCTCGCCTGCAAGGTGAGTGACGTGGATGCCAAAAAACCGAGCAGCAACCAGGTTTTTGGTTCCACAGAGGGTACCTGGAGTCTCCTTCTGACCCTTTCAAAATGGTCGGGTCATTACCCAAAATAAATTGGCTCATGGACCCATTTTTTAAGGGTCATGGAAACTCCAGGCACTCACTTCTTGCGTGGATTGGCCAAGGGAAACTCCCAAACTGCTTGTTGACCACCAAACGGGTCTTCCCAAAAAGCCTTTTGAAGTCCAGGAACGCGGAAAGTGAGGGTCGGAGTGGATCCCTTACAGGAGGACAGATGGCGAAAGTTCGTTGTGGGTGCGACATCTGGGGGTAATGAGACCAGTATGTTCATATTTGGTAAGCCCTAAATCCAAAGTGGTTTTGGAGGAGACCCAGCAACCTCCGGCGCCATGGGGTGCCAACGAAACAGGCAAGGGGAAGGGGAACAAGGCTTTCCCGAACTTACAATGTGTAGTGCTTGCAGCATGTCTTTTTTGGGGCTCCACCCCAGGTAAGAAAACTAATGTTTGCTGCAGCCTCCGCTAAGAACATGAACATAACTAAGATCAATAACTCCAACAAGTCAAGCCAAGTCACAAATCTGAGTTGGCCATTGCCTCAACATGATGGGGGGGGGGAAGGTTGCCACATGCTTGGTCGGCCATCTGTGGTTGCAACCTTGACGTTTGAGCATTTGTTTGGCACGAGGGGAGTGACTCTGGGAGAGAATGTGGACCCTTTGCCGGGGTGATTCGATTATTAGTGCAGAAGCCACCAACCAAGTTCAATAGCGAAACAACCCCATATCTTCAAAAGTAATCGTTAGAACCCCCTGACACACGTTGACCAGGGTGAAGGGAAAAGTGAAAGTAGATGGCACAATTCCCATTGTGTGATGACTCAACCGCAACGGGGAGCGCCATCTACTGTCGCTCAACTGTAAAGTGACATCCTCAAAATGGCCCAAATGGGAGGTTTGCCTTTAGTTTCCTGTGAACCCACGCCAAACAAGCCTCAAAAAAACGCTGGACACACAGGACCCGAAAGATCCATCCCAGCGCGTTCGCCTTGAGCTGGGTGAGGGTGATGTGCCAGCCAATGGCTTCTGCCAGGGAGCAGGTGATCTGCGTTCGCATGCCTCAGATGACAAGCGGCTCAAAAGCGCCTCGCGTTTTAGGCCCTACCATCCCGAAGGCCCAAACAGACAGACCCGGGAAAAGAGAAAGTGAAGGAAAACCCGACCGAAGCAACAGGTGAACAAACTAAGCTGAGAATAATAAATGCCTTGTGGTTTCCTCTAAGCGCAGGCCCTAAGCGCAGGCCCTTTCGGTTGATTTCCCAAACCCCTCTGAATTGCCTGACTACCATCAACCTAAAGTGACGCAAAATGCATTTGAGATTCAAGGGTTCCCTTTGTGCCCAACCCATACACACGACAACTTTTTGACTCCCAAGGCTGTGCATGACCCCTACCAAGCGAAACTGACCTATGGAAAGGTGAGGTTTCAAACCACCAAGCAGGGAAATATAGGGACACCTTGGCTTTGCTTAAAACAGGGCGGGACCCCATGTTTACGCCACTATTGTTGTTCAAACTATTTCCTCTTGATTTTACTTACTTGGTCTCCCCTTTGCTTGTTGTTGACAACAAGCAAACACCAGGTAGCCACTGTGAAAACGCAACCAAACCGAGAACAATGGACTTATCCTACACATTGTTCTTTGCATTGGCGCCCCTTTGGTTTACCTTCACAAGCAAAAAGGTTAGCCACGACCAACACACAAACAAACCAGGAACAGAGACGTCATCCTGCATCCTCTTTATTTGCTAGGTCCTCCAATATAGAGGTTAGAATAAGGGTACCCTTTTTTCTGTAGTCTATTTTAGCTGCAATGGCGCCCCTATGGCCAAGTTGTTCTTGAAACCGAGGCGCTCAAACCATGCCAAGACATCTCCACAGCGTATCTCCCCTTGGTGTCCTGAGTTCCGAGGCATGGACACGTGCCCCGGTTGCCCGGCAGAATCTTCTCGGAGAATGCTTGAGATTTGAGAGACACGCTCCTAACCTCGCTGGGACATGTCCAAGCCTGCACACCGGGTGGTTCGGAGTGTCTCTGCTACTTTGAGCGACTCTTCCCCTGGCAGAGGCCCAAGTTTCTGATGCAAAAGCGTCAGAAACTGCCCGGGATGTTGGGTTGCTTGATCATATTTAGTTGGGCCATCGAATCCAAAAAACAGTTGCAAGTGAACAGTTGAGCCATGAATGCACGACGATAAACACACATTACATAAACATCTCATTCTAGCCGAACGGTGATGGCTGACCACGCAGCGCCCAAGCACAAGCATTAGATTTGTAGCAATGATGTGTTGCTGCTAGGGAGGGGGTTGCTTATTGAGCACTCGCCGGGTCCCACCGCCCATCGTGGCTGCATGGTAAACTGCAATCCCAGCAACTCGCACCCACTTCAACCTGAAGCTGGATACGCCATCAAATCCTTTTCCAGTTCAACATGGAGGAAACCTGCTGGTTACCATCTTCGCTCCCAGACAAAACGCAGCTCTTCACTTGGCCAGGTGCTGACAGAAGGATACACAAAATGATCTGCTTTCTCCTTGGGCATCCTTGACTCACCAACTTGCGAACTGGCGGGCAACGAGCCTCTTTTACGGCTTTTTCACGCCGGCAAAACCTGGCTTTCATTGTCTCTTCTGGGCTGCGGGAAGCCCTTCAAGCCATACAGACCCATTGAGCACCAAGAAGCACACTCAGACAGTACAGTCAAAAAACAGGATCCCATCAAAAAGGATCCCCAAAAAAAGGAACAGCCAAAAAAAGGAGGATCCCAAAAGGAACAATCAAAAGGATCTCAACAACCCAAAACAGGATCCCATCAAAAAAGGGAACACCCAACAGGGAACCCTGCACAGATCGGGAAAGATGGCGAAATCAGAGGCCAAGGGGCGTTGTAAATGCCTCAGTGCCAAACACTCGCATCCGACGCGGACGTGCACCGAATGAGATCCACTACCAGCCTACTCCCGTCAAATGGAAAAACGTGGTTTCATCCCTGCAAATATTGCGGCCGTGTAGTAGCCATTCAGTGGCCATGTAGTGGCAATGTAGTGGCTATGTGGCTGTGTATCCCGCTGAAATTCTTGCGGGTAGTGGTTTGGGTTCGTGGTTTGGAGTATATAGTGGAAGTCATCTTTGAATGCATCATGGTCACAAGTTGTCATGTGGGTTGTGGCCGTGGCCGAAATGGGAAGCTGGAAAGACAATTCAATGGTTGCCCAAATTTTCGCAGGCTCCATGACCATCCCTGAGCCAAGCAAACAAGTGATTGGAACATGGCCCGTACGTCAATTCAGCAAGTGGTGCTTGCAGAGTCTATACCAGTGTACTATCAGGCATAGATATATTGAGTGCATTGATATCAGGCTATGGTGATTTCTCACAATTTCTCACATGCGCGCTTCTTTGTGGATTGGCCAGGAACAGCCGAAACTCGCTGCGAACTCCGAAACGACAAACAAACAAATACAAGTGGTCCCGACATTTCGGAAACAAGTCTACTTCTCCTCTCTACCAGGTGGATTCATTTTGGGCTCCGTGTCCTTGGAGGCATTGTATAATATGCACATCTAGGTCCTCCAGTAGAGAGGATAAAATAAGGGTAATTAGGGGTACCATTTTTTCTGTAGTCGATTTTAGTAGGGGAACCCTCCCCCAAAGAAGGGTAAAAGGCACTACTAGGGGATCTAGACATAAAGGCCGTTCTACATGCCACTTATATCGGGGTACATACTGCCTCACTGAAATATTGGTGACGCCCATGTCCCATACGGAGCTCATCAAAAATGCCCTGAGGACTCTTGATGGGAGTGTGAAGACTGTTTCAACACTCGTTCGCCCACCCGCATGCCCACACATACACTTTTCAACAATCTCAGTTTAGGTGGCTCAAGCGCCACAACACCCAATCAGGTGCTACACACTTGCCCTGCCTGCTTTAATCACAGGTTCTTTTCCCTGCGTTACCACATGCTTTTCCGCCTGAGGCTTTGTCGGCCAAATATATGGCTGTCTCAACCGAAAACTTCACATGGCTCCTGCCGGATGGCACCCGGAAGATCAACAAATTCCAAGGGAGGTGAGAAGGTCGGTCACAGGTGTCCTTTTTTGAAAAATAGATGGCCCTGGTAGATGATTGAGCCACCAGGTAAACCAGGGCCCTCTGTTTTTTTTGAAGCAAACCAACCAAAAAGGACACTTATGGGGTCTGTTCTGGGCCTTCCCTGTGAGGCACATCCGCTGGTTGAGCCCAGGCACCAGCCAGCGACAGCGGCTTTTTGCTCCCGCCGCTCCTGAGCGCGAGGTTTGGTCACGCACTTCCGGCTATCTGCGGAACCTCGGGAAATGCACTGATTTCTACAAGTTTTTCAAGAGGATAAACCAAGGACCTACATGGGCACTAAAGAGCATGTGCCAAATGGGCTTGCTGGTTTGCCGGCAGATACATGACGCCCTTGTTTGAACCTTTGCTGATTCATCGTTCCTTTTGGCGTCTTGTTGGAAAACCGGCCTCAAGCGGGGTCCCAGGTGGCCCCAAACCCTGGAGACATGCGAAGTACATGGCACGTGCCTTAGAAGGGCCTCTTGCGCTTAGGACGGATGCCAGTTAGTCAGTGGTTCATATCTTGGGGAGTGGGGTGTAGAAAGGTCATTGACCCGGCGTACGGATCGTTCATGTTTGGGGTGTCCATGGCAGCAATGCAGAGGACACATGAAACCAACATGGGGGCAAGGATGTTTCAACCAAGCGCACAGCCGAAAAGAAGTGTGAACATCAAGGTGTGTCTGGAAACCTGACCTGTGAGGTGCGTTTCTATAATACCCTCCGTGCCAAATGACCATTTGCTGCTTTCGGTTTATTGACCACTGCGAGCTCTCTGTTCCCAACGTCGCCCCAATTGCAAGAATTAGACCCTAGAAATTGGTAGCAGGATTAGATGGTAAAACGGGTTTGGATGTTATTTGCCATGAAAGGGTTGCAACCCCATGCCACTGTCCCTTGTCAGGCCCCTGTTCAAGTGATGTTTGACGTTTCATGAAGTATGAGGCCTGCAAAAGGTCCAAAGACGTTCAATTCCAAAGCGTCACAGACTCAAACACAAAGAGGATCGACGCATCATGGGTTTGCAGATGTGGATTGCCCCCGGATCAAAGCGCATTGCGCTCAGACTAGTGGTTTGGAGGGTAGGGGGTTTCCCATTAAACCTATGACGTCCCCAAACCAGTCCAAACCGCCAACCTGATTGCGGGACCAAAACATGTTTTAAAGGTTTCTTTCAGGTTCACGGGGTTTGTCTCTGGATACTGCGGGTGTCCGATCCCTAAAACCAGAAACGCAAAAAAGGTGAAAATGGCACTCCGCGCCCAGTAAACCACCAAAAGGCCATTTTAAGGGTGTCTCAGATACAAGCAGAATCTGGAACTCGCTTCCTGAGCAGCATTGGCTAAACTGATCTTCCCCAAGGGACTAAAGTCCAGGAACTCGGGGAAGCAAACAAGCCAATCACCAAAAAACAACCCAAGCGATCGCGAGAACGGACCCACCCGGGCCTTGATTCTCATTTTTGTTTGGCCAAGTTGCAGCACTTCAGAAGCTAAAAGAAACATCACCCTTCCTCTTTTGGCTTCCTTCGGCTTCTCAGCCAGCACCCGAAGGGAACCCTTGATTTGAATCTCCAAAGGCTTTTTTCTTGGCTTGGGGCTGATGAATCTACCAGCGGAACGGCGTTCCGCCCGGAAGCTTGAATATTTCTGCGTGACGTGTGTAAGGGATCAGAGACTTACACAGGTGAGCAAAAGCTGGACACTTGGAAAGCGTGCCCTGTTTTAAGAGACACCCACGTCCGCTGTCCGCTTGAGAAAACAATTGGGGGCACTTCTCTTTTGGAGTTGGGGGTTGAAAGGGAATCCAAGAGGAACACAGAGAAATCCTGCCCCTATTTTCGACGCAAACCTATTTGGGCCTCACAGGTTCCCAGCGTGTCTTCTCTTCGCATTCTGGGTGTTCCTTGATAAACCGATCCAACTACGGGCGAACGAACCTCAAAAAAACGTGCCCTTCGCGGCGCGATGCGAAGGGCCGCACTGGGGATCACTGGGGCTCTGGCCGCTGCAGCTCAACACGTCCGGGTTGCAGAGGCTGGCTCCTCACCTAGGAGGCATCGGGGATCGGGGAGGCTGGGGGAGGCTGGGGGAGGCTGGGTTTGGGGTGGGTTTGGGGTGGGTTTGGGGTGGGTTTGGGGGTGGGTTTGGCTTGTTACCCACTGCGGACTGGCAAAAGGCGAATTTGAACATTGAAAACCTTCCCCTTTGATCATGATATGTTGAATTCTGGTCCGTGGGCACCACTCATGTTCGGTGGTCCCAATGCTCCGCCTCGATAGAAGGCCCTGTGCCTCTCACCGGACTGCGGGCTCGGCACCGGAATCCAAAGGCAGCCGTTGATGTGGGTGTGGCTTTTTTTGAGGGTACCTCCTTTCGGGTTGGAGCAAGGGGTTAAACCAGCAGGCAAACCACAATTTGGTGGGTTCCAAACAAAATGGCACACCCATGCTCTGATCTGATCTTCAAGCGCAACTCGAAGAATACGACCCTTCAAGGACTCGCATTTGAAGCAAAGGAGTGGATTGGAGACAAGTCTAAACTCTCTGTGCCCCCGTAAATTCTCCAAGACATACCACTCAAGCAACAAAGATTGAGTGGTATCCCGTTGAAAGAGCATAGTGTGTCTGCACTTGGAAGTGAAGAATCAGAATGGAGAATCAACTCCTACTGGATGGTGAAGAAAGTCACACATGTACCATAAACCACTAAAAGTCATCCCTTCATATTTATTTCGTCCCAAAAAAACGGTTTGAGAGCCACCGAGAGGCCTCAGTTCAGCTTGGTTGCTGTTGACCCCCCTGTATAAGTTTAACTTTTGGGGGGTCTAGTGGAAAACCCCTTGCTTTCCCAAAAAGTTAAAGTCTAAAGATCCAACCCAACAGCAGTCAAGTCGGATGGCGCCCCTCCCCGCGCCTGCGTGGAGCGCACAAACTCCATCACCTCCTCCAGGACCTGCAAAGCCGCGCCAAGACGCAGGCGTCGGGGGGGACTGGCTGTGAAACGGCCCAAGGGGATGTTGAAGCGTCCAACAAGCACACAAATACAAAGGAAGCTATATTCAATCCAAAGTGGTGGCCGATCTTGCCTTCAGATTTCGCCCACAAAAAAAGGGGGGTTGACCTTTGGTCCTTCAAGTGACCCCGTAGCCACCGGGGTTTCGCAGCTTGACGTCGGGTCCTGAAAATCGGGCCATGGGCCATGGCCCAGTGCCGGGCCTTGGTGCGGAGCGCCTGGAGGATTTTCCCCTGCTCCGACTTGCGGGCGGAGGTGAGGCGGATCAGGGCCTCCCGCACTGCGCCTGAGACGGTCGGCTGATCCAGCACTGGGCAGGGCGCAGGCAGCAGGGCCCCGGCTAAAAGGTGACAAAGCTCTTCGTGGGTGAAATGGAAAGCCGAAAATCGCAACCCCTGCCTGGTTGATTTTGATGGGGAACATGTCCCTTTTTTGGTGGGGTGACATGGAAAGCCCCACTCAACCGAACCAAAAACCTGAAAATACCACAAAATACCCAAGGGGGATGGCTGGGAACCAAGAAAATCGGAGCCCCTGGTTGATTTCTTGATGGAGAAAGTGTCCCTTTTTTGGGGCTCAGCCCAATAGGACGGGTCTATACATCCGAGTCAAAATCGTGTGGCTGGTGCATGTAAAACTCCAATTTTTCTGTCGCGTTGATTTCCGGTAAACTGGCCAATCCCTGCTTTGCTTGTCCTTGACAGCCAGCCAGGTAAACTGCAACCCTCCTCTCGCCCACCATCAAGGTCTGATTGCCGAAGCAGCAAGCGATGTACAGAACTCTGAAGCAACATGAGTTGTGAGCCACATTGGCCGGGCTTCAGAAAACCTAACCGGGGATTACTGGAGAAACTTCGGATTCATCTGGAGGACCGAAATTCGGGGTGGCTCCCATGTTTCTAAGGGAGTGATCCATCCTGGGAATGACCTATCTTGGGTGAGTCCCTCTGGACTCACCCATCAGGAGTAATCGACCTCAGGGAAAAGCAACATCTTTCAACTCAGTTGCCCACATGGGTTAAAACATGCCCCAAAAAAAGGAAACTAAAAAGGTCTCAGGTCCAAAGGTCGGCTTTGGACAACTGAGTCAACCCACGAAGGGTAACCAGCAGCCCTTTGGGGTTGGCTGATGTGCGCTTCCAAGAGAAACAAAGAGAACGGCGAAATCCCCATTTTCGTTGATTCCAGCCATTCCTGTTAACCCATCATTCTTTGCAGAAACCAACCATATTTTGCGTGCCATTGTCCTAACAGAAAGGTAGGATGGTTGGTTGGAGAACAGCGGCGACAATGGTTGGCCTTTGTCTCCCCTTGAAACCAATAAAACATGCTCACCCCTGCTAACAAACATGGTCACGTCGCCTCTCAGGCGACCACACTTTGGCACGCTTTGGGCAGATACTCTTGAAAGGCATTTACACAACCACATGTGCCCAGAGTGTGCGATTTGAGTTAAAGCCCATGGCCATGTCTGTGATACCTAAGTGATTCTTTATAGGGGACCCACTTTCAAGTCGCACAAAAGTAAGAGATCTGTTTGGTGGAGCAGCCGTGGCTCGCTGATTTTCCCCAAACGGGGCCTCCAAAAGTGGGCATTGTCCTTTGAAACGCAGGTGCTGCGATTTGTCACGTGGGAACTTGGAAAGGAGACGAAACCGACAAACAGTTGGTACAACTCCAACATGTTCAATCATCCCCTTGGCGCTTCTCAGCTGGAAAGTCTGCCATTTCCGCTCGCCCGAGTGGTTCGTGAGATCATTTGATTCGCGAGGAACAGGACCCCCCGGACTCCCAATGTCGTGCATCACCCACCCAAAACGAGACTCATCCAAAAGTGGCCCAAACGGTGATGTCCGCAACGGCACGGTGTGAGTGCCAGAGTCCGCCCCACCGCCCGAGTCGATTTTCACAAGGGCCAAAAAGCTGCGGCTGTTCTGGCAGATTTTAACTTTCAGTGGGTTCACTGGAAACCTCCACTCCTCAAAACCTACGGAACCGCACAGCTGGGAACCGCAAAAGTTTCTGCCGAGGCTCGTTGGGCTGCGAGCTCGTCCGCGACGACATCCGGCTCTTCCTCCAAGTCCCCCGCTTCGCCGCGATTTCCTCCCCGGGACGACAGAAGCGAAACCGTTCGTAGCACAGACCTGGAGGCCCTCTTTGTTGGTTCATTCCGTCTTTATAGGGGAACCCAGAAAACAGCCAGGGATTGACAGAGTGCCAGTGAACGAAAGGGGAATTCGCCGCTGAAGGGTTGGGACAAGCAAGCCATAAACGGGGCGGGAGGCCCGACCAGAATCATCCATCAAGCGGCGAAAAGGCACCGCGCTTGAAAATAAGAACCTCAATCCTTCCATGCTCCCTGCTGCCAGCGAAACAGCCCCAGTTTCAACCCCTCCATAGTCTCAGCCCCCTCGCCCTACCGGAAATAGAACAACATTTTATTTTCGAGCCCTTGCCCCCCACAAAAGAAGAACGCAAAAAACGGAAGAAGAAGCACGTGGCCACTTTTCATGACCCAGCTAAACCAGTTCAGAAAAGAGCTTGCTGATGCTGCGCAACCAAAACTTAGAAAACTAGAACGTGTCGGTAAGGAATCAACTCCTTACCACACGCAAGTTTGCAACCGCAAAGTGAGCACCACATCAGCTTACAGGAACCAAATTATCTCATCGCGCTGACACACTTCTCATTTGTCTCATGTTCGATGAAACCAAGCACCTTCCAGGAAAGTGATCGAAAGGTTCTGATCGAACCGAATGGATGAGACCTAAGGAACTTGGAGCAAATGATTCGCAAGGCAAGGGGACAAGCCGCAATAGGCTCGGCAAGGATCTGGGCAAATTATAATCGCATCTTCCCAGCTACTGGAAACAGTTAAAGAAAGCACCCCTTGTAAAAGCGCCCGAAGGCAAGCTGAAACAAGACTGATCCTGGGCTTGGCTCGATCCCCATAGCAACATCAGCATGGGTCGCACAAATCCCTTTGAGAGGCTCAAGCCTTGGAGCCCCTTGGTTTTGGTTGATTTTAAATGGAACCCCCTCAGCTAAAGAAGCAAGTGCACTACTGGGCGTCTGGGGATCGAATTAAAAGAGAAAGAGCACTTGGCCGGAAGACAGAGGCCGGTGAAAGGTCAAACAGCAACCAAGATGAGGTTGCATTCTTTAGGCCCCGCATCCGCAGCATGGCATAGCCCTGACTTTTTACAACGAGTCAAGCACAGGAAGCGGGATCTGGGAAGAAGCAGGGCTCTTTGGATGAGTTTGCTTCACTTCCCCAAAGGACCCAGGAGTAAAAGCTGATCACAACTCTTGGGACCTTCAAAAAGTGGACCAAGGAACACCAAAAGGACGACAGCCCAAGGCCATCCATGGCCTCCGTCGGCATTGCCAGCAGCGTTGAGGGACCTGGAGGGAATCCATGTGCCAGCCCGGATACTGGAATCTGGGCTTTCATGCCATGCTAAAACATGCAAATACCCTGGCAAAATGAACATATTTCCAGTAGTGATAAATTCCTTCTAAAGCCAACAAGGGAAAATAAAACAAATATATTCTTAAGCAAAAATGGAAGAATGAAATTGGACCCCCAAGTAAAGGATCTTTATGGCAAGCTCGTTTTATCCAAATTTGCAGAATTACAGAGTCAGTAACCAAAATGGCTTCTACTGCCAGAACCTCCATCCACCATCATAAACAGAAGGCATGGGCTGCAACCCAAAAGGCCCACTGTGAGTCATTGACAAAAGAAGGGTCATGTAAGGTCGATTCGATTCGAGTTTTGGCAATTCTGACGGAGCCAAAAGCCCCTTTATTAAGATATAAGTCTGTTTGTTGTCTTGCCAAGTGTCTTCCCCAAGAGTAGACGAGTTGCTTTGCCGGGCCAGAGAGTACCACACCCAACAACAAAGAAAGGACAAACATGCGCCTTGATAACTAAATGTTTAAAAAATAAATGAACCTTGCTCAGCAGAGGGCTCAACCACGAGGGCCCCCTAAAGTACGCACAAACAGCTATACATGTGGCATATGTAAATGGTTTCCATCAGCCATGTTAGGCCCAACGGAGCTGACCACGCCCGGCAAGGAGCCGTGAATGGGTCCATTGACACGCTGCAAATTGCTTTGTTGACCCTAAACTTTGCGGATCGTTTCGTTTTGCCCTATAGAAACCTTGCGGTTAGGGTTTCCGCAGCCTTAGCCACCGAAGGCCTGCGATCTGCATCATCCCATCGACACCTCCCGACTCCCAACTTGGTAAACAAAACGGCCCCCCCAAAAGTAAGTCCAACTCAGGGAGTCACACAGCTAAATACATCCATGCAACTCTTAAAAAGCCAACAAACAAACCCGCATCGGCGGATCTGCCCGCTTCGCCTGTCGTACTCGACCCGGCGCTGAGAGTCTGTGAGCACCTCGAAGGCCGTGACAATCGCACGGAAGTCCTCCGGCCGCCCGCCTGGTCCGCAGGACATCCGCGAGAGGCGGGGGGTGTTTTAAAAATCAACAACACAAAAAACACAAAAAAACAACGAAATTTAGGATTCCCTAAAAAGGACACACCCATGTGTGGCGCGCTTCCTTTCCATCTGGGTATCTCCAGAAATAAATGCGTGCTCAAGCCAACTTGGCGCAATATGAAGCAAAACGCTAAATTCAGCTGGGCCGTCACCGTTCCCTCCCCCGTTCCTTCCCTCCCTCCCTCCCTCCCTCCCTCCCTCCCTCCCTCCCTCCCTCCCTCCCTCCTTTGTTTCTCGCTTTTCCCAAACAAAAAACAGTGCCTGAGTAATTTAGAGTGGTTTAGAGTGAGGGGGTCCCTGCGAAAACCACGCAAGGGTGCACATTTTTTGATGGGACCCTCTCAGTTTTCCATATCTCTGGGTCCCACGTCCAAAACGGCGTAAAGGTGTACCTTTTTTTGATGGGACCCAATCAAATGTCCAAGCTTTCCGGTTTTTCGGGTGCTCATCCTTGAGGAGCAAGTGTGACCCCCAAAAAAGAGTGAGGGGGTCCCATCCGAGTGGGTCCCATCTGGCCCCCTTGAGCAAAGGCTTGACTGCTGAAACCCATTTGCACTTGTTATTGATCTATCCATCTACCCTGTTTGTATTTGTTTTCATCTTTCTGTCTATCTGTTTGTATTTGTTGCTCTCTACCTATCAATCTGTCTATTTGTATCTATTCTATCTATCTATCCATCTATGTGTACCTAGTCTCATGTGTCTGCCTATCTGTCTGTTTGTATCCATTTCTATCTCTCTATTCATCTGTTTGTATCTGTGTATATCTATTTTTGCCCATCTACCTATCTATGTATTTGTATCCATCTCTGCTTATCTGTCTATCTATCTATCTGTCTATCTATGTATCTATCGATCTATCGATCTATCTATCTATGTGTATCTTCTTGTTCTATCTAGTTCTCTATCTATCTCTCTATCTGGCACCTTACTTATCTGTATCTAGTTCTATCTATCTCTATTCATCTAGCTATCTAGTTGTACCTATATTTATCCATCTAGCTATCTTTCCATCTATCCATGTTCCCTTTCCCACCCACAAATCTACTTGTATTGTTTTATCTCTCTATCCTTCTATCCACCTATGTGTGTCCCTGTTTGTCGGTTCATACATATATATTTCTATATATGTAAAGTATTTCTATCTATCTGTCTACCTATCTAAGTTCATCTATCTATCTATCGATCTATCCATGTATTGAGTTGCATCTAATTGCATCTACTTTGAGCTATCTATCTATCTATCTATCTATTTTATTTATCTATCTATCCATTTGCATCTGTGAAACGAGCGAAGACCGTGTCAGACAACAGGCCCGCGAGTCAGACAACACGAGTCAGACAACGCCAACGCGCGAGTCGGACAACGCCTACGCGCGAGTCAGACAACACTCGCGCGTGGTTGCGGAAGCGCGTTCAGGAACTGCCCCCAATGGGCCGTCGTTGTCTGACACAGCGCTTCCCGTCCGACACGTGGCCTCCACGGCCGACTCGGACCGTCAGGTTCTGACTCGGAGACCTTACTTTGCTAAGTTAGCTCCGCGTCCGCGCTTCTTCTGGCGTGCCCGCCGTCCCATACGCGGCCGACTCGGGCCGTCGTTGTCTGACACGGCGCTTTCCGTCTGACACGTGGCCTCCGCGGCCGACTCGGGCCGTCGGGTTCTGACTCGGAGACCTTACTTCTCCGTGTCCCCGTTTCTCTGGCAACTGCGGGCGCGCGCGGATGCCTTGCAGGCTTTGCGTTGCGCGCCTCCGCGCGGTTCGTCCCCCAGCTTGTCTCCCAGTTTCCTAGCGCATGCGTATGAATTGCAACGCCGCGCTTAGAGCTGCAGGATGCCCTGCGGCGCCACAGCGCAGGATGCCTTGCCTTCAAGAACAGGATTCTTGGTCTTGAAGTGCAAGATGCCCTGCCTAAGTGCAGGATGCCCTGCGGTCCAACGCAGGATGCCCGGCCAGCTTGGCGCTGCGTGAAAAGCAGCAAAAGAAGCTGCAGCGGTCGCTGGCTCGCCAGCAGCAGCCCACAAGGTGGGGTCGATGCTTTTTTTGTGCCAGGGCATTGCAGCCCGTGCTGAGTCTTCAGGGTCCAATTTTGAAGTGCGGGCGGAAAAAGCCCAAGTGTCCGTACACTCGATCGATGAGTGTGCAACAATGGGGGCGCTTGCCAGCAAGTTGGCAGCGCGCTTGGCCACGCAGTTGGTCCAAGGTCTTCTGGGGGATGCGCCCGAAAAGGGCTGTGACAGTCTAGGGGTTGCTGGCGTCGCACAAAGCAGGGCGATCCGGAGTCATTGCTTCATGCTGACCGTGACCTGCAACTGATTTGTGTTGTGAGTTGCCTTGCTTGCCTTGCAGCGCTCTTGGCCCGAGAAGTGTTTCAGCCACTTGTCAGTCTTGGCTGCCGCACATGTCCGTCCAACTTGACACGCAGCACGTCATGGCTTTGGTGGGTGGGATGCAGGCTGCGCTGGCTGCTCACCGTGGCCGGCATGAGGAGGTCACATACGGCAACTTCACTCCCTTGTGGCATCTGGAGCAGTGCTTGCGCATCCAGTACAGCCTCTGCCGCCACGTTGGAGGGGAGCAGTCCTCTACCAACCTGGACACCGTCACCATTCTCATGACAGTGATCTACAGCCTCCGCCGCTGTGAGCACTGGAAAGTGACATGCTCCTGGCCTGACCTCCAGCCTCCCTGTGAAGGCAATAATCCCGTGTCCTTTCGCACACAACTGCAGCTGACCTGGGGGGCATCCTGGCGAACGCACGCAGAGACCTTGGAGCCGCTGCTTGTGTCCTGCATGAACCACGTGCAAGAGTATGAGCCAGTGTATGGGCGGTCTCGCAGCATGGGCTCCTTGTTCAAGGCTTGGCACGCGTTCTCCGACGACATGCTGCTGATGCTGCGTGGTTTGCTGGGTGAGCCTTGGCCGTCTCACACCGGGTAGCTGCAGCTTGAATGACATGGCCGGTGACGAAAAAGTCAGATTTGCAAGCAGCCGACTCGGGCCGTCGTTGTCTGACACGGCGCTTTCCGTCTGACACGTGGCTTCCGCGGCCGACTCGGGCCGTCGGGTTCTGACTCGGAGACCTTACTTCGCTAAGTCAGCTCCGTGTCCCCGTTTCTCTGGCAACTGCGGGCGCGCGCGGATGCCTTGCAGGCTTTGCGTTGCGCGCCTCCGCGCGGTTCGTCCCCCAGCTTGTCTCCCAGTTTCCTAGCGCATGCGTATGAGTTGCAACGCCGCGCTTGGAGCTGCAGGATGCCCTGCGGCGCCACAGCGCAGGATGCCTTGCCTTCAAGAACAGGATTCTTGGTCTTGAAGTGCAAGATGCCCTGCCTAAGTGCAGGATGCCCTGCGGTCCAACGCAGGATGCCCTGCCTTCAAGGCCAGCATGCTTGGTCTTGGAGTGCGGGATGCCTTGCTTAAATGCACAAGCGCGGTCCAAAACCTGACACGGAAAGAAAAAAACAACGCAAACAGAAGCAGACGGCCTCAAACAAAACCACGCAGAGCCTGCCGATCCAAAACAGCCCAACAGCACGGCGGCGCCGCACAGCAAACCAAACGGCATGAAGCAACTGCGGGCGCGCGCGGATGCCTTGCAGGCTTTGCATTGCACGCCTCCGCGCGGTTCCTCCCCTAGCTTGTCTCCAAGTTTCCTAGTGCGCGCGTATGCATTGCGACGCCGCGCTTAGAGCTGCAGGATGCCCTGCGGCGCCACAGCGCAGGATGCCTTGCCTTCAAGAACAGAACTCTTGGTCTTGAAGTGCAAGATGCCCTGCCTAAGTGCAGGATGCCCTGCAGTCCAACGCAGGATGCCCTGCCTTCAAGGCCAGCATGCTTGGTCTTGGAGTGCGGGATGCTTTGCTTAAATGCACAGGCGCGGTCCAAAACCTGACACGGAAAGAAAAATCCCGCAAGCAGAAAGCAGACGGCCTCAAACAAAACCACGCAGAGCCTGCCGATCCAAAACAGCCCAACAGCACGGCGGCGCCGCACAGCAAACCAAACGGCATGAAGCAACTGCGGGCGCGCGCGGATGCCTTGCAGGCTTTGCGTTGCGCGCCTCCGCGCGGTTCCTCCCCCAGCTTGTCTCCAAGTTTCCTAGTGCGCGCGTATGCATTGCGACGCCGCGCTTAGAGATGCAGGATGCCCTGCGGCGCCACAGCGCAGGATGCCTTGCCTTCAAGAACAGAACTCTTGGTCTTGAAGTGCAAGATGCCCTGCCTAAGTGCAGGATGCCCTGCAGTCCAACGCAGGATGCCCTGCCTTCAAGGCCAGCATGCTTGGTCTTGGAGTGCGGGATGCCCTGCTTAAATGCACAGGCGCGGTCCAAAACCTGACACGGAAAGAAAAATCCCGCAAGCAGAAAGCAGACACCCTCAAACAAAACCACGCAGAGCCTGCCGATCCAAAACAGCCCAACAGCACGGCGGCGCCGCACAGCAAAACCAAACGGCATGAAGCAACTGCGGGCGCGCGCGGATGCCTTGCAGGCCTTGCGTTGCGCGCCTCCGCGCGGTTCCTCCCCTGGCTTGTCTCCAAGTTTCCTAGTGCGCGCGTATGCATTGCGACGCCGCGCTTAGAGATGCAGGATGCCCTGCGGCGCCACAGCGCAGGATGCCTTGCCTTCAAGAACAGAACTCTTGGTCTTGAAGTGCAAGATGCCCTGCCTAAGTGCAGGATGCCCTGCGGTTCAACGCAGGATGCCCTGCCTTCAAGGCCAGCATGCTTGGTCTTGGAGTGCGGGATGCTTTGCTTAAATGCACAGGCGCGGTCCAAAACCTGACACGGAAAGAAAAATCCCGCAAGCAGAAAGCAGACGGCCTCAAACAAAACCACGCAGAGCCTGCCGATCCAAAACAGCCCAACAGCACGGCGGCGCCGCACAGCAAACCAAACGGCATGAAGCAACTGCGGGCGCGCGCGGATGCCTTGCAGGCTTTGCGTTGCGCGCCTCCGCGCGGTTCCTCCCCCAGCTTGTCTCCAAGTTTCCTAGTGCGCGCGTATGCATTGCGACGCCGCGCTTAGAGATGCAGGATGCCCTGCGGCGCCACAGCGCAGGATGCCTTGCCTTCAAGAACAGAACTCTTGGTCTTGAAGTGCAAGATGCCCTGCCTAAGTGCAGGATGCCCTGCAGTCCAACGCAGGATGCCCTGCCTTCAAGGCCAGCATGCTTGGTCTTGGAGTGCGGGATGCTTTGCTTAAATGCACAGGCGCGGTCCAAAACCTGACACGGAAAGAAAAATCCCGCAAGCAGAAAGCAGACGGCCTCAAACAAAACCACGCAGAGCCTGCCGATCCAAAACAGCCCAACAGCACGGCGGCGCCGCACAGCAAACCAAACGGCATGAAGCAACTGCGGGCGCGCGCGGATGCCTTGCAGGCTTTGCGTTGCGCGCCTCCGCGCGGTTCCTCCCCTGGCTTGTCTCCAAGTTTCCTAGTGCGCGCGTATGCATTGCGACGCCGCGCTTAGAGATGCAGGATGCCCTGCGGCGCCACAGCGCAGGATGCCTTGCCTTCAAGAACAGAACTCTTGGTCTTGAAGTGCAAGATGCCCTGCCTAAGTGCAGGATGCCCTGCAGTCCAACGCAGGATGCCCTGCCTTCAAGGCCAGCATGCTTGGTCTTGGAGTGCGGGATGCCCTGCTTAAATGCACAGGCGCGGTCCAAAACCTGACACGGAAAGAAAAATCCCGCAAGCAGAAAGCAGACACCCTCAAACAAAACCACGCAGAGCCTGCCGATCCAAAACAGCCCAACAGCACGGCGGCGCCGCACAGCAAACCAAACGGCATGAAGCAACTGCGGGCGCGCGCGGATGCCTTGCAGGCCTTGCGTTGCGCGCCTCCGCGCGGTTCCTCCCCTGGCTTGTCTCCAAGTTTCCTAGTGCGCGCGTATGCATTGCGACGCCGCGCTTAGAGATGCAGGATGCCCTGCGGCGCCACAGCGCAGGATGCCTTGCCTTCAAGAACAGAACTCTTGGTCTTGAAGTGCAAGATGCCCTGCCTAAGTGCAGGATGCCCTGCGGTTCAACGCAGGATGCCCTGCCTTCAAGGCCAGCATGCTTGGTCTTGGAGTGCGGGATGCTTTGCTTAAATGCACAGGCGCGGTCCAAAACCTGACACGGAAAGAAAAATCCCGCAAGCAGAAAGCAGACACCTCAAACAAAACCACGCAGAGCCTGCCGATCCAAAACAGCCCAACAGCACGGCGGCGCCGCACAGCAAACCAAACGGCATGAAGCAACTGCGGGCGCGCGCGGATGCCTTGCAGGCCTTGCGTTGCGCGCCTCCGCGCGGTTCCTCCCCTGGCTTGTCTCCAAGTTTCCTAGTGCGCGCGTATGCATTGCGACGCCGCGCATAGAGATGCAGGATGCCCTGCGGGCGCCACAGCGCAGGATGCCTTGCCTTCAAGAACAGAACTCTTGGTCTTGAAGTGCAAGATGCCCTAAGTGCAGGCCCTGCGGTCGCAGGATGCCCTGCCTTTCAAGCCAGCATGCTTGGTCTTGGAGTGCGGGATGGGATGCTTTGCTTAAATGCACAGGCGCGGTCCAAAACCTGACACGGAAAGAAAAATCCCGCAAGCAGAAAGCAGACGGCCTCAAACAAAACCACGCAGAGCCTGCCGATCCAAAACAGCCCAACAGCACGGCGGCGCCGCACAGCAAACCAAACGGCATGAAGCAACTGCGGGCGCGCGCGGATGCCTTGCAGGCCTTGCATTGCACGCCTCCGCGCGGTTCCTCCCCTGGCTTGTCTCCAAGTTTCCTAGTGCGCGCGTATGCATTGCGACGCCGCGCTTAGAGATGCAGGATGCCCTGCGGCGCCACAGCGCAGGATGCCTTGCCTTCAAGAACAGAACTCTTGGTCTTGAAGTGCAAGATGCCCTGCCTAAGTGCAGGATGCCCTGCAGTCCAACGCAGGATGACCTCCCTTCAAGGCCAGCATGCTTGGTCTTGGAGTGCGGGATGCCCTGCTTAAATGCACAGGCGCGGTCCAAAACCTGACACGGAAAGAAAAATCCCAGACAGCTTCAAACAGTGCTAATTTTCCGCGTGCAG